CTGTTGGGTTTTATCCTTAAAAGGGTTTCTATAAAACGGGTACTTTAGGTCTTGTGATTCTAGAGGTGGAATGGTTTCTGGTGCGTTGAATATTACTTTGTGTCATATAGGAAAAGCATCACAAAAAAATAACTAACATTTAAAAAGGTATGTAATTCAGTAAGACATAGTTTAGATTTTTCTAAGTAGTGTGTTTTAAAGCAACCTATTTCAGGTCAGCATATACAACTAAAAGGTGTCATAAACAATGTTTAGTGTTGCTTCCTGTTATAAACTGATGTTTTCCATTCTTTTGAAGAGAATTTTGTTGCATTCATTTTTAAAGTATTTCTTGTAACATATTTTCTTGGTTTTAAAACTCATTCATGGATTACAACCTGATTTGAAAAATAGTAGAAGATACAGTGCACGTGTTTCTTAGTTCAGACAATCCAGTGGGGGATGAAATGTAGAAAGTTTCACATAAGACAGTGTACATGTAACAATTTGGGTTCCTTTGGTCTGGAACTTCCAAACAAGACCAAATCACAGGAAGCAAACACATTTTTATTGAGTTGATTCCTGACTCATAACAACTCTGTAGGTTAGAGTCCAACCAACTCCTACAGATACCAAGGCTGGAATCTTTAGGGAATTAGACTGCCATGGCATCACCTGGGGAGCAGCTGGTGAGTTCAGACTGCCACCTTTCAGTGTTATGGCATTGCAGGATAAGCACTGGATTGCTAAATGCAAAGTAGATGCTTCATACCCACCAGCTGCACCTTAGAAACCCTATACAGTGTTGCTATGAGTCAGAACCAATTTTACTGCACTTAACACACTTATTCAACCTGTATGCTGAACAAATAATATGAGAAGCTGGGTTATATAAAGAAAAATGTGGCATCAGGATTGGAGGGAAGACTCATTAACAACCTGTGATGTGCAGATGATACAACCTTGCTTGCTGAAAGTGATTGGAATGCAAAGGTTGGGAGCAAAGAGGTAGGACCCCAGTAGTTGGAAAATTTGGCCTTGGTGATAGAAATGATGCTGGAGAACGAATGATAGATTTCTGTAAAACCAATGATTTGTTTATTTCAAATACCTTCTTTAGACAGCATAACAGATGACTATACACATGGACCTCGCCAGATGGAACACATAGAAATCAAATTGACTACATCTGTAGAAAGAGAAGATGGAAAAGCTCCATATCATTAGTGAAAACAAGGCCAGGGGCAGACTGTGGAACAGACCATCAATTATTCATATGCAAATTCAAACTGAAGCTGAAGAAAATGAAAACAAGTCCATGAGGGCCAAAATATGACCTTGAATTTATCCCACCTGGATTTAGAGCTCATCTGAAGAACAGATTTGATGCATTAAACACTAAAGACAAGACTAGAAGAGTTGTGGGATGACATCAAGAACGTCATACGTGAAGAGAGCAAAAAGTCATTAAGAAGACAAGAAAGAATTAAAAGGTCAAAATGGATGTCAGAAGAGACTCTGAAACTTGCTCTCCAGCATAGAGATGCTAAAGCAAATGTAAGAATTAAGGAGGTCCAAGAGCTGAACAGAAAATTTCAAAGAACAGCTCGAGAAGATAAAGCCACATACTATAGTAAAATATGCAAATATTTGGAATTAGGAAACTAAAAAGGAAGAACAAGCTCAGCATTTTTCAGGCTGGGGGGAACTGAAGAAAAAATTCAAGCCTCAGCTTTCGTTATTGAAAGATTCTTTGGGCAAATTATTGAATGATGCAGAAAGCATCAAGAGAAGATGTTAGGAATACACAGAGTCATTGTACCAAAAGGAAATGGTTAATGTTCAACCATTCCAAGAGGTACCATATGATCAAGAGCCAGTGATACTCAGGGAGGAAGTCCAAAGTGCATTGAAGGAATTGGCAAAGAACAAGGCACCAGGAATTGATGGAATAAAAATTGAAATCTTTCAAGAAAGTGAGGCGGCACAGGAGGCACTCACTCATCTCTGCCAAGAAATTTGGAAGACAACTATCTGGCCGACTGATTGGAAGAGATCCATATTTGTGCCCATTCCAAAGAGAGGTGATCCAACGGAATGCGGAAATCATTGGACAATCACTTTGCTATCTCAAGTGAGTAAAGTTTTGCTCAAGGTAATACAGAAATGGCTACAATCATACATTGACAGAGAACTTCCAGAGGTAGAAGCTGGATTCAGAAGAGGCCGTGGAACGAGAGATATCATCGCATATGTCCGATGGATCTTGGCTGAAAGCAGAAAATATCAGAAAGATGTTTACCTATGCTTTATTGACTACGCAAAGGCTTTCGATTGTGTAGATCATGACAAGCTATGGACAACATTGAGAAGTATGAGTATTCCAGAACACTTAATTGTACTTCTGAGGAATCTGTACCTGGACCAAGAAACAGTTGTTCGAACAGAGCATGGGATCACTGAATGTTTTAAAATTGGGAAAGGTGTGCGACAAGGTTGTCTTCTTTCACCATGCTTATTCAACCTGAATGCTGAGCAAATAGTATAAGAAGCTGGGTTCTATGAAGTAACAACCTGCGATATGCAGATGATACAACCTTGCTTACTGAAAGTGAAGAGGACTTGAAACATTTACTGATGAAGATCAAAGAGCACAGCCTTTGGTATGTATTGCATCTCAATGTCAAGAAAGCAAAAATCTTCACCACTGGACCAGTAAACAACATTCTTATCAATGGAGAAAAGATTGAAGTTGTCAAGGACTTCATTCTTCTTGGATCAACTATCAACATTCGCGGAAGCAGCAGTCAAGAGATCAGTCGACGTATTGCATTAGGCAAATCTGCTGCACAGGAACTTTTTATAGTATTGAAGAACAAAGATGTCAGCTTGAGGACTAAGGTGCGCTGGCCCAAGCCATGGTATTTTCAATAACCTCATATGGATGTGAAAGCTGGTCAGTGAATAAGGAAGATCGTAGAAGAATTGATGCCTTTGAATTGTGGTGTTGGAGGAGAATACTAAAAGTGCCATGGACTGCCTCAAGAACCAATAGATCTGTTTTGGACGAAGTGCAGCCAGAGTGCTCCTTGGAGGCCAAGATGGCTAAACTTCGTCTCTCATACTTTGGACATATTGTCAGGAGGGAATAGTCGCTGGAGAAGGATATCATGCTTGGTAAGATGGAGGGTCGAAGAAAAGAGGAAGACCCCCAACGGGATGGATCGGCCAGGCGGCATCATTAATGGACTCAAGTGTGGCAGCGGTAGTGAGGTTGTCCTAGGATCGGACATTGTTTCGTTCTGCTGTGCATGGGGTCTCTATGAGTCGGTTCCGATTCGATGGCACCTGAGAACAACAACAAGGTCTACACTGATAAATGGTAGCAATAAATCAGTGTCAAAAAATAAATTGTGCACCTGTAAAAAGTTGAATTGTCTAAAGTTGTGTGATGCACATGTTTACAAGAACACAAAAAGAGGCTGCTTATGTACAACCAAATTACCCCATGGGATTTATTTGCTTTCCTGGTTTAGAAATTTAGGCCCATAGTTTGATGAGCACTATAGTTAAGTGGCCCCTGATAAATAGCATGTTTAGTTTTTCTGTTTTATCTCTTAGTTCGTTCACAGTACCTCAGCCTAATCAGCTTGCAAGCAGCCATAGAGTACAACAATTTGTCTCCATTCACCTGGAGCACATGGGAGGAAAAAGAGTCGGGATATGATTGTTGGCTGATTGCTTCTTTGAACAACTCCCTTCTTTCCTAGACAGAAGAACTGGATGAGGATGGTGCCTGGCTATCAGTACTAAACAGTTTGATTGAGGATTCTGTAGAAGAATTTTGATTAAGAAAAAATTACAGTGCAGAATTTTAAATTTTCATGGAATTCATACTTTTATGGTCTTCTGTGAGCTTTTATGGTCTAGGATACAATGTAATTTATAGAATACATTTTTGTCTAGGATGATAAAAGGATAAAACTAAGATGCATTCAATTTGTCGTGTTTCAGTCTCTTAGAGTTTATTAATTCTACGTATATTCTTTGAAATATTCGTGATGGCTTTCCTCCCAATATTTTATTGGAAAAATTTCATCCATAATAGTAAAGTTGAAGGATTTTTACAGTAAAACATCTGTGTACCTACTGCTTTGATTCTATCACCAACACATTTTTTGTCTTTATTACATGTCTATTCATCTCTCTATGTGATACTTTTTGTGCTATTATTGCTTATGCCCATTTTATTTGATTTGACATTTTTTCAAATTTCTGTTATAATTTTCTCTCACTGTCCTTCTCTCACAGAACAATTTTCTGGCCTTTTCTAAAATGGTGGTCTCACTGTACTATTCTAAGTGAGACTAGCTAGACTCTTTTTTCCCTAAGATAATTAAATTCCTCTTGTTTTGTTCTTACTTTAAGTCAGTATCTAACCTAAATTAGAGGACTCCTGTAATTAAGGGTAAAGTTTCGGGGGGTGGGGTGGGTGGGAGTTGGGGGTGGTAAAAAGCATATAGTTTATCCAGAAGGAAAAATATAATCAGGTTACACAAGTTAGAAACCAGGGCTCCTGACTTCTTAACAGGTGCCTTCTTATGCTGTACTAGAAATGGAAAAATAATGATGATAAACCTTTATCAAATACCTGCTGCTGTATGTGGGCATGGCGCCAGACCTTTGGCCTCTGTGGTTTCTGCTTATCTCAATCATTGTGTAGATGAGGGTTATTTTGAATTTATAGGTGAGGGTTATTCAGACAGTTCCTGGCAGAGCTTGGATTCCTATCCATGACTGTTTATTATAAAACTTTTGCTCTTTTCAACATGTAATCTTTGGACTATTTCCTAGTTCATTGTTCATACCATTGTAGCCTAAGGCATCTTCCTACCCACCTGTCATTGTTTTATATAGGTACTGTTTACCTGCTTGGCTTTCCTTCTATATCTGTTTCCTTGTAAATAAAAAAAGTAAAGAATTTTTTATTAACTTACATCCATTATTTTTGAATGCCCCAGAGTGCCCTCATGCCTGCACAGTTATTCTTTAAGACTGAAGATGGTGGCAAGTATCCAGTTATATTTAAGCATGGAGATGATTTGCGCCAGGATCAACTTATTCTTCAAATAATTTCACTCATGGATAAGGTAAACAAAACCTTATATTGGTAGGGAACTTTATTTTATTTTGAAATTCTGATTTAGTGTCCACATTGGTATTGTGGATGGTAGTTTGTTGTCACGGTGGTTCTCACTAATAGTGACCCTGTATAGGATTTCCAGTGGGGCTACGATAAGGCTTTCGCTCCTGTAAAGAGTTACAGCCTCAGAAACCCTATGAAGGGTCTCTATGAATCAGAACTGACTCCACAGCACACCACCACCATCACCACGATAGGGTTTCTGAAGCTAAAATTCTTTTTATGGAGGCAGAAAATCTCTTCTCCAGGTTCAAACTGCTATCCCAATTCATAACACACTATCCTGTCAGGATTCCTTAGTGTACACATTATTTATGGGAAAAAAAACCAAAAAAAACACAAACGTATTTGTAACATTTAGGTACAGTCTTAAAAAGTTCAATAATCTCCAGTTGACCTTAAACATACTTGGTTGTTTTTTTACATATCAAATGGTTCCTGTGATAAATATCTATGGAAACTGCATATGTTTTCTTGTTTGTGTACTTTAAGATACTTTTTATCTCCATAAAGGAGTGCACAAGCCATGGAGGAAACCTACTGCTCATTCATTGAACCCTGTTCTGAACACTGCTGACCTTGATTTTGAGAGAGAGAGAAAAATCTGGCATACCATCTTTTATGCAAATGTTTAATAAAATTTTTTTGATGATTGTAATTACCAAAGTTTTAACTAAAAGGATGTTTTGATTTAGGGTTACCTCCTAAATGTAGGTTTACCTGTTATATTAAACTGCTGTGTATCCCTATAACAGTCTTTACATATTTTCTTTTGATTGGAAGCTGTTACGTAAAGAAAACCTGGATTTGAAGTTGACACCTTATAAAGTATTAGCTACTAGTACAAAACATGGTAAGTTTTCTTGTGATCTTTTTTTCATTGTCCAATAAGTGAACTTTTTTGACTGAAAATTGAATAGTGTTGAAGATTATCATTTCTAATACTGAAGAGATCATTTGTGCATTTTTTCTTTCATGTTACTGCATTGTGAAATCACAGAATAATCTTTGAAAAAGTAGCACCTTTTTTTTTTTTTCTAACTTTTTAGACTGAATTGTGTGAAGGCTTACAGAGCAGATAATCAGTTTTACTTTCAACAGCTCATACACATCTTGTCTCATCTCGCTGATTTCAGTCCCTTCAGTGTAGCCACACTTATCGCTCTTCCTCTCTGTTTGCTGTTTCTATTTCTTCTCCTTTCCTAGCCCTTCTGAACTTTGTCCTTGGGTCTCAAATCAGTGAGTATTCTAAGGTGTGCATACCTCACGAGTGGTACAGTAAAGTGACACCTTTTTGTTGTTTCTTTGCATTCAAGCTGATTGCACCTCACACTAATTTCTCATATGATTTATCTGCATCCTGAATCATTAGTGAGAATGACTGTGACTCCGAAATGCCTTATACCACGTTGTTTGTAAAAGTCACTAAGCAGTCATGTTGCATATCAACTGCTGGTTTATATTTTGCCAGTAGCATTGAAGTCTTTCTGAGGATGAGTAACAGCTGAAAGTTGGGTGGAAGATTCCTTGGGAATGCTTCTTAGTGCTTACTGTAAATTCTACAGTCGTCTCACTCTTAGAGCATCTTACTGTTAGAGGCCTTGGTGAAACAAAAATATATACTTTATTCTCCTTCCCATTCCCCTCTTTTCTGTCCTTGTCTTCCAAACTTTGATGGTTTAATTCTTCTCAGTTTCCTTTCATAATTGTCTTTTGAAAAATGCAAATTTGGTTGTTTACTCTCCTGCATAAATTTAGTTAGTGAATTTCAAAAGAACTAATGCAAACTCTCACTGCTGTTATGTTTGATTGAATGAAACATCCCTTACTCTAAAGTGGTAATGAGGTGGCTTCAAAGAGTTTGTGGAAAAATGGATCTTGGGCAGCATGGCAGAAGTGATTGGTGTCAGATGAACCCAGATCTGGACTAACTGAAGAAAGTTGCACCTGGTCTTCTGAGCCAAACGATGAGTGTTTATCTCATGTATTTTGGGAATATGATCAGGAAAAAGTGGAAGGTCAGCAAAAAAAAAGAAAAGGAAGACTCTTAACAAGATGGATTGACAAAATGGTTGCAACAGTGGCTCAAACACAGCCGTGATTGTAAGGATGGCCCAGGACTTAGCAGTGTTTCTTCAGTTGATTTGAAGCTGACTTGATGGCATCCAACAACAATAAATACCATGTCCAGGAAAAGGAAGACAAAAGGAGGAAAATAAACATAGACATAGTTTTAGGATTAGGTCATAGGTATTCAAGTTTCAGATTTCTTACAGTGACTTAAAATGTAGAAATAAATGCAGAAATAAATTTTTGATGTTAGATTATGAAAAATAACAATCTATTACTTTATATTTCATATATACAATAGTAGAAATTGATTTAAGATGGCTTAATTTCTATAAATACTTTCTTGTTACTATGGTGTAAATGGTAGTATAAACTTACTGTTGTATTTATAGACTTTGCATTGCTTTTAATTTTATTATTAACAAACAGCTATGCTTAAATATAATGCTTGTATTTATGTGTAGGCTTCATGCAGTTTATCCAGTCAGTTCCTGTTGCTGAAGTTCTTGATACAGAAGGAAGCATTCAGGTAATTTATATATTTTAAAGATTTATATAGTTCATAAATATATTTTTATAGTAAAAATTCAATTTTTTAAAAAAGTTTATGAAATTAAAAATAAGTCTTTTTAAATTTTTTATCATCTTTATTCTTCAGTTCTTTTTCTTTTCCTCAGAAGTAAACATTATTAATAGTTGGACATTTTTTCATGTTATTAGTACATATAGACGCTCTGTTGTTAAGTGCTGTCTAGTCGGTTCTGACTCATAACAACCCTGTATTGAGGAGTCCTGGTATGGCACTGAGGATAATGCACTGGACCACAAGGTCGGTTTGAACCACAAGGTTGGTGGTTCAAACTCACCAGCTGCTCCTCAACAACACAGGGTTTCCAAGAAGCAATTAGTGAATTTGAACTGCTGACATTGCAGTTGGACCCGACCTTAATGTTTAAGTGCTTATCCTGTACAATTTTTCCCATGTTCAGTCTGTACCTCGTTTAATAGTTATTTATGTGTTTGTCCATTTCCCCTGATTTCTTAGAATTCTTGGTACTCATATTTTAATTATTATAAAAGTTTGTAATTGATTTCATCAGCTTACTAATGGAAACAATGTTTCAATATTATACTTACCTGGTAATTTTAAAAAGTCATATTCACTTTCAAAATATATAGTATGTTAATTATATGCTGATTAAGTGTGTTACCACAAACAAAAGCAAAACTCATATTCACTTTTAGGAGAATGGCAAAACAAAGTGATTAATTAAATGGAAAAAATAATAGATTTATTTTGTTTTCCCTATGGAATGGAAGTAACAACATCCTATATTTTTTATTTCACAAGTCTATAAGAATAGTATCAAAACAGATTCTTTAGGAATACGAGGATTAAAGTTCATGGAAAAATTGCATTGTGTTTTGTTTCCATTTTCCTCAAATACAAATTTCAGAACTTACTGTCTATGCTCACTTTTAGGAGAGACTGTTCGTCATTATTTACCATTTCAAAATGTCTGATTTGTTTGAAGATATTGCATATACATAAATAATGTCCTTTTAGAACTTTTTTAGAAAATATGCACCGAGTGAGACTGGTCCTAATGGGATAAGTGCTGAAGTTATGGACACTTACGTTAAAAGCTGTGGTAAGTTATGGACACATACGTTAAAAGCTGTGGTAAGTTTTCAAACCTTTACCTTCCATTGATAGGTTGGATGAAAAGAAACTAGACTATCTTTGTCTTTGATTCAGACTTCAAACACATTAAGATATGAATGTTCAGTTAGGCACTGTCTGGTTGATTCTAACCTTAGTCATCCTCCTATGCATAACTGAATGAAGTGTACTCACAGTTTTCACCCTGCTTGAGCCCATTGTTACAGCCACTGTGTCAGCATATTTCACTGATCGTCTACTTTACCAAGCATGGTGTCTGTCTCCAGGTACAGGTCCCTTCTGATAAAATGTCCAAAGTACATGAGATGAAGTCTCCCCATCCAAGCATCTAAAGATCATTCTGGCCATAGTTCTTCCAACGTAGATTAGTTTGTTCTTCTGGCAGTCTAAGGTATATTCAGTATTTTTCACCAACACCATAATTTAAACACATTCATTCTTCTTTGGTCCTCCTTATTCATAGTCCAGAAAAAAATTAAAAGCCATAGGGTCAATAATAAAAGCCATCAGTGCTTTGACATGGTAGTAAAAGTTCTGGATTAGGTCTCTAATATATCATTGCAGTTACATGAATATTCATAATTAGAAGCTGTCTCTCCTGGAGACACTTAATTTTCGTTTCAATTTTCTGTTTTTGAGTAACTGCAGTTAAGTAAAACACTGTGATGCAGTGTTTGGATATTTGGCCAACTGAAACCTTGGTGGTTTGAACTCATCAGCTCTTCCGCAGGAAAACAATATGGCAGCCTGCTTCTATAAAAGTTTACAGACTTGGAAATCCTATGGGGGTAGTTCTGCTGTGTCCTGTAGGATTGCTAGGCATTGGCATTAGGTTTTTGGGGCAGGTTAGTAGACTGTAGGAATAGTCTCAGTCAGCAATAATAATACTGTAGACAAATCTCAAGAGTTAAGATAATAGTGCTGTGTTTAGAGGGTGCCTCATACGGGTATTTTTGTTTCAGTGTTTGTTTTCCTTCCCTGGAAATAAGTAAATAGCAGCACGCTGCAGAGATTAATTGATATTCTACAAATGTTTGTTTGTGCTCGCAGGCTTTTTTTTTTTTTTTTTTTCCCCAGGATCTTTTATTTTCTTAAAGGGATTTTTTTTTTCCCCTTGAGTTTAAGAGCAGAATCATGAAGGATTTTGTATTAAAGATGAGCTCTGAATAGTGTATTACATAATCTTTTATACCTTTTTTTTTTTTTTTTTTTAAGTATTCAAAACATAGGGCAAAAAGAGGGCTTTCTAGGTCTGTATTTGAAACTTGCTTATTATTTTATAGTGTTTGAATTTCTTTCTTGCATACAGTATTTTATATTTTTATAATGCTCCTGTGTGGTTGTTTTCCAAGCTATTTTGGACTTTATCTCTCATTTCTAAATTTATTCTAGATGATCCCTTTTTGAATGAGAAGTATAAGAAAAATGTAGTAATCTGAGGAAGTTTTGAAACACAAACAAAATGTACAAGGTTTAATGTTTAATGTGCTGGACTGCCAGGTCTCTTTGAAAGACAAGGTTGGCAGTTCAAGCTCACCAGCTACTCCTTGTAAACCCTATACAGGGTCGCTATAAGTCAGAACCAACTCGATGGCACCTAACAACAACAATATATATTCTTATGCTTAACTGTAGGAATTTAAACATGTTTTAACTGCATTTGTGCAAAAAATGATTGCACATGGCCTAGTTCCATCTAAAACTGTAAAAAGCACTGATGGATGCAGTTAGAGAAATGTTTCTGATCTTTCATTCCCTTCTCTTTCACTTTGTATTTCTCTCACTCCCTTTTTTATAAGTTTTTCTTAGGTCTTCAAATCTTTGTTTTCGATTGTCTAAAAAATATTTGCATACTATCTAAAAGTGCTCAATTAGGCAACATATTCAAGATATGAACCACTGAAATGACTGGCAGTTTGTGCTGTCTTTCATTTGGGCTTGTCAGTTGATTCACCTATAAAACATGGCCTCTCTGTGGCTTTAGCTTCTCGGAGCATGCTGGTTGGGTTCCTAGAGCAAATATTCTAAGAGACGTAAAGTGGAAATTATTAGTTTCTGAAGGCCTGTGCTGAGAAAGCAGTTCTTGTGGAATACTAGCTTAGGTATTGGGTTGCTAACCTCAAGATCAGCAGTTCAAGCCCACCTGTTGCTCTGTGGGAGAAAAATGATGTTTTTTTCTCCTGTGAAGATTTACACCCTCGGAAACCCTATGAGCCTTGGTGATTATAAGTCAGAACGCAGCCAGACAGCACACAGGCAGGCATGCCATGTATATGCTGTTTCATTAGTCAGAGTCTACCTGGATTCAAGGTGAGAGAACATGGAACCCATATCTAAATGAAAAGTGTCACACAATTTGTGGCTGTTAATTCACCACACCTAGTGTGGTGCTGTGGGCTAATGCGTCAGACTGCAAAGTTGTTTGAACCACAAGGTCAGTGGTTCAAGCTCACCAGCTGCTCCTTGGAAACCCTATACAGGGTCACAGTAGGTCAGAACCAACTCAACAACACTTAACAACAACAAGAACAAGTTCCTAATACTTGATCAAATGTTATAATTTGTATGTTAAAAAACAATTATTTTACCTTTTTACCAATAATACCAGTTGCTGTGGAGTTGATTCCAACTCACAGAGTCTCGATTTGTGTCACAGAATTTTAAAAGGCCACAGAATTTTAAGTGGCTGGCTTTTGTAGATTTCCAGGCCTTTCTTCCACGCCTCTGGTAATCTCCAACCATTCATTTATCAGTTGAGTGTATTTTATCTATCTTCCTAGGCATATTATCATTAGGTATTTTGTACTTTTGATGAGTACTGAGCAGTAACTAAATTTCTAAGCGAATCTGTATTATAGAACTCAGTGTACTGCATTTTTCTTTATGACTAACAAATTTAACATTTCTTAATAAATCGCTTTGTTGTGTTTCAATGAGGAGCCTTTTGTCAGTCTGGAATTGCATATTTTGGAGCAGTTCTACAGCTGCATTGCTCAGAAGAGTGAGGCAACACATTTTAATTTGAGGATGAAGTTTGATTTTAATTTGAATCAATTTGAGAATTTCTCTACGTGAGAAATCAAACACAATAGTAAACAAATTGATATTAAAAGTAGTGTAAGCTGTTTTTATATTGTGTGAACTGTACAACTTGGTCTGCATGTGCTTTTCATAATTCTTTTTTCTTTTGCACCATTACTGCAGCTGGCTATTGTGTGATTACATATATACTTGGAGTTGGAGACAGGCACCTGGATAACCTTTTGCTGACAAAAACAGGTAACAAGAATGACTGTTTATAGATAACACATTTTATATGCCAATGAAACCTACCCTGGAATCTGTTTATGATCAGAAGAACTTGGGTAGTGAAGATAAATCATAGACTCTTATAGTTCCTTTAAAATAGTGAACACCCATCATCACATAGCAGAATCTTTGTAGTAGTAATCTTTTAGCTAACTGTTGCACTTCTGTTATTAGATAGTTGCTTTTTTTTGGAAAGCCCATAATATACGGAGGCAATTCTTTCTCTTACTGTACAACTCTAGTTAGAATGTTGAAACATTCTTTCTCTTACCAAACTACACTTAATTCATGGTAACTTTCGTCTTTTATTCTTTTTGTTTCTCTTTGTACTTCTAGGTAATTGTCATTCTTGTTCCCTCTTCTTCCTGTTAACCCTTTTGTACAAGCACATTTAAAAATTAGAGCGCTTTACTCTTACCCATTTTTTTTAGTTTCTCAATCATATATCACTTGCATATTTGAAATTCTAATTATATAATCAACTGCAAAATTTGTCCCCTTTCTCTGCTTCCTGTCAAAACCTGTATCTTACCTCATTTTCCCCTCTCAGTAAGAAGAAACATCATTCACCCAATTGTTCAATCCCCAAATCTAGGAATCATCCTTAATCTCACGTTTGGCCTCAACCTTGCATGTTAAATCTATTAGCATGTCTTCTCGACTTCCAAAATAGTTCACGAAGTCACTCACTGCCATGATTCCACTGCTCTCACCCCAGTGAAGCCACCAACATCTCTTGTGCTTACATGTTTTGAATAATGTGGACATTTTACTATGGCTTCTGTGGCTTGCCCATACTGATCTTTTACATGTTTCCTGAAAATGCCAAATCACCCCTGCTGCAGACAAGTGCTCTTGTTATGTTTCCTTCTTGGAAAGCACTTCTTTCAGATCTTTGTAAGACTGACTTTTATGATCAAGTTTTTAAATTCTCAAGACATTGCTTTTGAGAAACTCTGTCTAATACTTCAGTTTGAAATCATATAATCCCATGCTACCCGCTTGCAGTTGCTTTCCATTTATTAGTTTTGTTTTCTTTGTACCACTTATTACTAACTCAAGTTATCTTTTTTTATTTAATTCAATAAATATTTATTGAGCACCCCTGGTAGCACTTTGGTTTAAGCATTGGACTGCTAACCACAAGGTCTGTGGTTTAAACCCACCAGCTGTTCCAGGAGAGAATGAGACTGCCTGCTCCTATGAAGATGTACATACAGTCTTGGAAACTAAGGAGCAGTTGTGTTCTTTCCTCTAGGCTCACTGTGAGTGGAAATCAGCTCAGTGGCAGTGGATTCACTATGTGCCAGGTTCTAAGGACGGAGTAATTACCAGAGGGAACGTAACAGACAGAAATCCTTGCCTTCATGGCTATTGGTGACTTTATTATCACCACCCCCATTCAGAATACAAGTTCTGTGAGAGCAAGGGCTTTGCCTATCCCATTTCCCACCATGCTTCCAGAGGGTTGAATAATGCCTTGCTAAAATGTTTTAAAATTGGGAAAGGTGTAAGACAGGGTTGTATTCTTTCACCATACTTATTCAACCTGTATGCTGAGCAAATAATACGAGAAGCTGGGTTCTTTGAAGAAAAACGTGGCATCAGGATTGGAGGAAAACTCATTAACAACCTGCGATATGCAGATGACACAACCTTGCTTGCTGAAAGTGAAGAGGACTTGAAACATTTACTTACGAAGAGCAAAGAGCACAGCCTTCGGTATGGATTGCATCTCAATGTCAAGAAAACAAAAATCCTCACCACTGGACCAATAAACAACATTCTTATCAGTGGATAAAAGAGTGAAGTTGTCAAGGACTTCATTCTTCTTGGATCAACTATCAACACTCGTGGAAGCAGCAGTCAAGAGATCAGACGACGTATTGCACTGGGCAAATCTGCTGCACAGGAACTTTTTAAAGTACTGAAGAGCAGAGATGTCAGCTTGAGGACTAAGGTGTGCCAGGCCATGGTGTTTTCAATAGCCTCATATGGATGCGAAAGCTGGACAGTGAATAAGAAAGATCGTAGAAGAATTGATGCCTTTGAGTTGTGGTGTTGGAGGAGAATACTGAAAGTGCCATGGACTGCCAAAAGAACCAATAGATCGTTTTGGAAGAAGTGCAGCCAAAGTGCTCCGTGGAGGCCAAGATGACTAAGCTTTGTCTCTCAAACTTTGAACATACTGTCCGGAGGAAACAGTCGCTGGAGAAGGATGTTATACTGGGTAGGGTGGAGGCTCAGAGAAAAAGAGGAAGACCCCTAAAGAGATGGATTGGCCAGGTGGCATCATTGATGGAGTCAAGTGTGGCAGCGGTAGTGAGGTTGGCCCAGGATCGGGCATTGTTTCATTCTGCTGTGCATGGGGTCACTATGAGTCGGTTCCAACTCGATGGCAACTGACAACAACAACAACAGAATGTCCAGATGCCAAAGGATAATGCACTAGACAATAAGGTTGGTGTGAACTGCTAGATTGGTGGTTCACATTCATCAGCTGCTTCTTGGAAACTATACAAGGTTGTTATGAGTCGGAACCAACTCAACCACACATAACAACAACAACAAAATGTTCATTAAATTTGTGTTCAATTAGTGAAAAGGAAATAAATATTTCTGCTCTTTTCTTCTTGGGCTAAATAGTTCAAACTTTTTTAACCTTCCATAGAAAATAGATTTTCAAATTACACTTTAAGCAGATCTCTTGTTGTTAAAATGAGTCGATTCCAACCCATAGCCACCCTGTATAGGGTTTCCGAGGAGCCACTGGTGAGCTCGAACTGTCGACCTTGCCGTTCAAATGGCTTTGCAGTCTAGCGCATTAACCCACAGTGCTACACCAGGAATCCTCTCATAGGTGAGTCCAATTCCTGTTTTGTTAGTATTCCCCTAAATTGAGATACCCAGAATTCAACATAATATGTCAGGTGGAGTTAGTAAAGTATCTAAGTCACATCATCTATAATTTCATATATTCAAATTTAATTTATTGTATGTGAAAAATCATTTGTGGTTGAATTTGGATATGTGAACCACTTCTATGGCAAGGCCTAGCTATCCCTCTAAGAACTAAGACCCAAGCAATCGAATTGTTGTGTAGGTTTGTGGCTAATTTATAAAATACTTCAATGTGTTTGGAGAAAATTATAATTTGAAATAACTTTTGCTGTGTTACTTTTAGATCTCCTTTTGGTTGAGTGTTTTAACAAAAAAATCAAGTTACCAGAGTGATTCCATTTGCTCTATAATGTGATCATTTCATAACCAGTAGAGGAAGGGCTACTATAAGTCAAAATATACTTGATGGCATATAACAATAGTGGATTGCACTAATGCATTGAGTAGCATTGCATCTGTAATGTCATATTCACAGATTCTGCTCGTCTCTTCAGAGTCCTGGTGTGGCATTGTGGGTTAATGTGCCAGGCTGCAAAGCCGTTTGAACTGCAAGATTGAAGGTTCAAACTCACCAGCATCTCCTTGGAAACACTATACAGGGTCGCTATGGGTTGGAACCGACTCGACGGCACTTAACAACAACAACAGCTCATCTCTTCATTTGGAATTTGATAAATAATAGACTTTTTTTCTCCCAGATGTGGAGGATCAGCTTTCTTGAGTATCACTGTGTTTGTGTGTGTTGGTGGGGATATTATAAGAATAACATTAGAAAAGAAGAGTCTACCTGAAGTTGTTTTGTTTTTCAGTTCAGGTCACAGTAACTTGTTTTGTGAAAACATTCCATAAAATCCCAGAAACAGAAGCTTAAATGTATTGTTACCAGTTTTCCACTAGAGGGTGCTCCAAATTTGCCTTTAAAACAAAAACATCTTAAAATTGCTGCCTGCTAGGTAGAGGCATAGGCTTTCTTTTAAAGCAGCATTTCCTTGAGCTAATTCCTAACTGCTCATAGTTATTTCATCCAGTTAAGTTACGCGGGTAGCGTTTTAAGTTATCCTCACTAGGAAGTATAAATTCTTTCTCTTCTCAGATTTGGTTTGAAATATAATTAGATTATGTAAAGAAAGACTAATGTCAAGACAAATTGAAGTTATTTACATTCATCAACTTCTAAAAATTCATAATTCATCTTAAAATTTTCTGTCTTCAGTCATCAATTGACTATCCATATTTCAAAATATTTACAAGTTATACTAATTTTATATACAAGGAGACTTCAAAAAAAATCGGTGGAAAAATTCCTTTTTTTCTATGAACCTTTTGGAGCCCCCTTGTGTACTAAAATAGATTCTTTTTATAGCTTTGCCAACTTCTTAGACTGGATTTTCAGTATTATTGATTGCAGAAAAATGAATTATTATTGTCATTTAAAAATGTTCCAAATAACATGAAATACCTTCAGTTGAATATTTGAGTTCTATTTGCCTTCATCGCAGATAGTAACATATTAGAATTCACATCTATGAATTCTCTTACATGACAGTCCAACTTTCAGAGGTCAGTGGAATATTTTCCTTGTCTTAGGGATCTTTTTCCCCATTCTTCTTTGCCACTTTATATATTTAGAATATGACCAAGAGTATGGGGCACGGAGAATGCTTCACTGTACCTAGAGAATTTCAAAATCTATACAAGAGTGTTGTTTTATGCCATCAAGTCAGTCCTGACTCAAAGCAACCTTGTATAAGCTTTCTGAGGAGCAGCTGATGGGTTTGAACCACCATCCTTGTGATTCAAGCCAACCGTGCAGTCTAGTGCTTATCCTACAGCACCTTAAAAGTTGACAATGCAAACCCACCTCGTGGCTCTTAGGGAGAAAGACCTGGTGATGTGCTTTAGTAAATAGTGTTGTTTTTGTTGTTAAGTGCTATTGAATCAGTTTGACACATAACGACCCTGTGTAGGGTTTCTAAGGAGCAACTAGTGGGTTTGAACCACCAACCTTATGGTTAGCAGCCCAGTGCTTATCCTACAACACCACATTGCCTGTTAGTGTTGTTAAGTTT